ATCCTGCCCCCCCCCCCGCCCCCAGGCCACAGTCCCCCAGTTTGTGGGGCAAGGGTTGGCTGTGTAGGGTAGCGGTGTATGTGTGGAGTATGGGGGGGCCCCAAGCAACCCCTTGTAGGCTGGAACTCTGCCAATCTGCAAGGGAAAAGCCAGTTTCTCATGTTTTTTTTTCCTTTAAAGGAGAATCCAGTTTCAAAGTTTGTTGATCCATTTTTTAAAGTTTGTTTGCAACCCTTTCATATATTCTTACAACCCACTATTGGGTCACAACCTATGGGTTGAGAAATGCAGGTCTAGTTCAACTCCCTGCCTGAGGTAGGACTAGCCCTATCCAAACCATCCCATACAACTGTCATCTAAAAGCTACGTGAGACTCCTGTCAACCTGACACCACACAGACCTAAGGCCCAACACAGGTAAAGCAGGAGAACCCCAGCAGCCAACATCCTGTTTCTATGAAATGCTGACAATATACATTCCTTGCCTCTCGCTACATTTCTGGGTCATCACAGCTACAGCATCAGCATCACTCTCATGCTGACTGTAAACAGCAAGAAGGTATAATGGTTAATGTGTGCTGCCTTGTATAGTCTATGAAGAAGCACATTCTGGAGGGGTGCATGGTGGGGGTGCACTGGCACACTTACACCCTGCTTTGATGCCTGCTCCACCCAAAGTTTAACACCACCTGCCTGGCAGTGGTATTGCTAGTCGGGCAGCACTGAGGGAGTCACTTGACTTCATGGCTCATCATAATCTACTTGCTCCCTTCTAAGCTTTTAATTAATAGATTTCATAGACATTACGGCTGGAAGGGACCTCGCAAAATCATCGGGTCCAGCCCCCTGCCCAAGGGGCAGGAAGTCAGCTAGGGTCAGATCACCCCAGCAAAATAACCATCCAGGCGTTTCTTAAAGGTATCCAGAGTAGGTGTTTGCACCACTTTTTGGGGAAGTCTATTCCAGACTCTGGAGATTCAGACAGTAAAGAAGTTTTTCCTTATGTCCAGTTTAAACGGTCTTCCAGCAGTTTGTGACTGTTAGACCTTATCTTCCCTTGGGGTGCCCTGGTGAACAGACATTCCCCTAGTTCCTGATGCACATCCCTTGTATACTTATAGGCTGAGCCTTCACTTCTCCAGGCTGAAGAGTCCCATGCCCCTCAGCTCCTCATAAGACCTGTTCTCTTGACCTCTAATCTTGTGCGTGGCTCTTCTCTGGACTCTCTCAAGCTTCTCCACATCCTTTCTAAAGTGTGGAGCTCAGAATTGGATGCAGTACTCCAGCTGAGGCCTCACCAAGGCTGAGTAAAGTGGGAGGATGATTTCTTGGGTCTTGGTTGAAATGCATTGATAGATACAAGCCAGAGTTTTATTTGCTTTGCAAGCTGCAGCATCATGTTGGTAGCTCATGTTCATCTTGTGGTCAATCGTGACCCCCAAGTCTCTTTCCGTGGTGGTGCTAGTGAGCGTAGCACTGCTGAGCCTATAAGTATGATGTGAGTTTTTTCTCCCAAGGTAGAGCACCTTGCATTTCTCCATGTTGAACATCATCAGATTTTTATCTGCCCACCTTGCAAGCCTGTCCAGGTCAGTCTGAATTGCCAGCCTGTCCTCTAGAGTGACCACACTTCCCCATAATTTGGTGTCCTCCATGAACTTAGCCAGTCCACTTCTAAATAATGTTTTGTCTTATAGAAATGTTTTAAGTCACTGTACTCTTGTTGCAGGTCCCTGGAGGGTAAGATTTTATGGGTGCCAAACCTGCTTGGGCATTTAATAGGAAGCCTGCAGCCTCAGAGATGCAGTGTAAGAGTGGATGCAGTATAGAATCCTTTGAGCCAGAAAGTCAGGTTTGCTGTCTTCTGGGTGCATCAAGAGCAAATGAAGGGCTCTCAAGCACATCTGACTAGTAATTGTGACATGTCAGGTTAGGACGTTGTATACTTTCAATTGTTTCTATCCACTTTTTCTGTTCCACTGTTCACATCTTAAACTTTTCCACCTCTTCTCTTGCTTTCCTTTTCTGATTTTTTCTTCCATTGTTTTTTATTTTCTCGCTTTAGTGACTAAATGGACAGCAGAATGGAATGAGCTATTTAATGCGACTCCAATTACATTCTTATCTGCATGAGAAATGCATACAGAATAGGTAAATCATTATTTTAATTGTAGCTGGTAAAGTCAATCGAAAACAAATCACTAAAAGGTGCTCTTCGACCAAAAAAGTGTTTAAGAGGTTGCACCAAACTTACAAAATCAGGTCTTGTCTGTACTGAAACTTGACCAGTATCATTTACTTTGTTTATTAAACTGGTGCAAACCATTTTGTAGACACTTTTATTTTGGTGTAAGAATGGATTATCATTGTCTACCTTCAATCTGTTCATAACTGACTTAAAAGAATATCCACACATTTTACACTGCTTTAATTCAACAGTGCAAATCATAATCAAATGTGAAGTTAAACCGGTAGATTGATGTGCATAAACAATCCCTAAAATGATATAGTTGATACAATTGATATAGTTACATTGATACAACTACCTGGTGTAGATAAAGCCTGAGAAAGAGGTACATGTCTCTTTAAAACAGTTTATAACTGTGATGAGCTAGGTAGCAGCAGTTTGTGTGTTTCTGTTGCTTGCAGGGTAGAATGACTAGCCTTTTGTAGCTTTCGTTCATCTGTCTGAGAGGGATGAAGACAGAGAAAACAATGAAAATAAGCTTAAGGCAAAAGATACGGGGCAGAGATGATGGGGACATGCAGACCATGTTTGTATTAGGAAATAAATTATTGTTGTGATGTCTTAATAGCCTCAGGTTTATTAATACATGTTAAAATCCTAGTATAGATAAAACAGTTGTAGTTTTAATGTGTTAGCAAAAAAGGGAGGGGGGGGAAATAACATTGTCACTCTAGTCTATATAGCAATGGATGCTCTGGTTCTAAAATTATTACTTTGGATGGGAAGTTAGATTTGCTAAAGCAGGCACCCTGCTTTCCTGCATACTTGCTCAGTACTTGTAACATTGTACATTCCACTTCAAAGTAAATATAAGGTAAATGACATTGTAAAACCTGCAGTGATAAGTATGAGAAAGTTAGAGAAAGCCAGAATTACGTTTTCTTCTGCAATCTTTGTATGTATGCATTATGAAATAGTCTTTAATTGCATGCCGGGTTTTTTCTGTAAAAATCCTACCTCATTCGGTGCACAGGATAGATGGGACTTGTGGAATTAATATTACTTTTTTATTCTCATTGTTCTATATGGGACCCCAGGTCTGTCTTATCATATACCAGCGTTATCGTGTATTATATAACTATTAATTTCCTTATGGACTTTTCTCTGGAGTTTCTCCCTAAAATATTTAAGTGCTTCACAAACATTAATTTTTGTTTTCTTCAAAATACTCTCTGAGACACTATGCTGTTGTTATCCTTGTTTTTAGAGGTGGGAATAGAGGTACAAAGAGAAAAGGGCTCAAACTGTCCAAATTGTCAGTTTGGGTGGATGACCTGAGGCAGCTTGCGTTTTCATAGCACTTCTAGTGTTCAAACCACAGCTCTAACTGATTTCTCTTACTGTTGTAAGT